GGGGGGGGGACGGGGGAGAAACAAGGGCGATGAGGGATGGGTGCATGACTGGTTGAGGCTTTGAAGGAGCCAGGGTGGGTGGGTCCAAAGACAGAGGCATGGAAGCGTGTGTGTGTGTGTGTGTGACTGTGTGCATGAGGAACGAGGCCTGCTCCTTGCTAGCTAAGGAAAAGGGTTCTGAGAACGTGGGAAAGGGATCTTGGCCAGGAATTCTGGGTTGACAAGGAACAGATCTCTCCATTCTCTCCTCCCTCGCTCACCAAATGAAAATGAGAGGAGGGGTCCTCCTCAACCCCCCCACCCCATCAGTCCAGGGGATAGCATCAATGGATGCTCTGAAGCTAAGTGCAGGGGAGGGGGGGAAAGAGGGAAGGTGTGGGTCTTTTGAGCATCCCAAGAGATATCCTTTCTGCAGGTGTCGTTCCTGCCTGGCGGGGGGGCTGGCTGGATTCAGGCCACAAATTGGATTTTTAAACAGGGTGGCTTACATCCAACTCGTTTGAAAAGTGGTGGCAGGAGGGTGTGTGCGTGCGTGCCTTCCAACGTGGCCCTTTGATGACTTGTGGACTTCAACTCCCAGAAATCCTCAGCCAGGCACGTGTGCCTGGCTGAGGAATTCTGGGAGTTGAAGTCCACAAGTCATCAAAGGGCCACGTTGGAAGACCCCAGTTTTAGAGGGTCGTTGAGGCCACTTGGAGGTTTCAAACATGGCCCTTTTTATGACTCGTGGACTTCAACTCCCAGAATTCCTCAGCCAGCATGGGGGAACTATGGCCCCTTCATGACTCGTGGACTTCAACTCCCAGAATTCCTCAGCCAGCATGGGGGAACTATGGCCCCTTCATGACTCGTGGACTTCAACTCCCAGAATTCCTGAGCCAGCAGGGGGGAAATTTTGGCCCCTTCATGACTTGTGGACTTCAACTCCCAGAATTCCTCAGCCAGCACGGGGGAACGATGGCCCCTTCATGACTCGTGGACTTCAACTCCCAGAATTCCTCAGCCAGCGTGCCCGGCTGAGGAATTCTGGGAGTTGAAGTCCACAAGTCATCAAAGGGCCACGTTGGAAGACCCCCGGACTTAAGCCTAACCAATCTTAAAAGGTTGCTGAGCTTGGAGACCCTCCCCCTGCTTTAAAGAAAGACTTTTGTTTTGGGTGGGGCTGACCTCTGGGGTGAGGGGCAACCTCCCCCCTCCTCCTCCTCCTCCTCCTCCTCCTTACCTATCTTTGCCGTTCTGTATGGAGTTCTGGCCCAAGCTGGCCCGGTCCAGCATGGGGGAATTACGGCTCCGGTTTGTGCTGGTGGAGAGGACGCTGTTCTGCAAAGGAGGAGAAACGCCAAGTGAGGGAGGGGCGCTGGGGCAGAAGGGTCTGGGGGGGTGGGGAGACCCTGGCAATAGGCTTCTAATATTTCTGTAAGATGGGGAGGGGTGGGGTGGGCAGAAAGAGGGCAGGCGGCCTCCCCCACCTCCAGAAAGAGGCTCCATTTGAGCCTCTAAAAAACAGGCCCGGTAAGAAGCAGTCCTCAACTTACAGCCATTTCTTTAGCGACCGTTCAAAGTTACAACGGCACCAGAATAAAAAAAAAAACGGACTTAGGACCGGTTTTTCGCCCTTACGACCATCGGCGGCATTCCCACGGTTATGGGGATCAAAATTCAGGCGCTTGGCTCGTATTTATGACGGTGGCAGGGGCCTGGGACACTGACCGTGGAGGGCATAGGGGTGCTTTTCTTCCTCTCCAGGCTGGGCAAGGGGCTGGCGGGCACTTTGACGGTGCTCCCGGTCTTGCTGCGCCCGGCCTCCCTCTCCTCCTCGGGCCTCTTGTTCTCGGCGTTGGCAGCCTGCGTTTTCTTGGAGTAAGACGTGGAGGTTGGGATGGTGGGTACTGCGGGGAGACGGAAACAAATAAATATATATATATATTTCGGACTGGACCAAAAGTCACCCAGCTGGCTTTCATGCCTAAAGTGGGACTAGAACTCGCCGTCTCCTGGTGATTGGCCCAAAGTCACCCAGCTGGCTATCATGCCTAAGGCAGGACTAGAACTCACCGTCTCCTGGTGATTGACCCAAAGTCACCCATCCAACTTTCATGTCTAAGGCGGGACTAGAACTCACCGTCTCCTGGTGATTGGCCCAAAGTCACCCAGCCAGCTTTCATGCCCAAGAACCCTCAAACTCACCATCTCTGGTTTCTAGGCCACCCCCATTCACCAGAACAATCAAGCCAGCTGCCTATAATGCTGTGAGACGGCGAGTTC